TCCGGACGTGCCCCTGCCTGGCGGGTGGCGTGGGGCGGTGATCCCTGGTGGCCGAGGGGCCTGGGCCTTCCCCTCATCGCGGGCCCAGGCGGGAGGACGGCGGGAAGCAGCCTCCCTTAGGCTGCCCCGCTTCAGTCCAGCGCGGGCTTCTCCTGTCCTGCACACACACGCCCGCTCCTTAATCCGAGGTCAAGGGGAAAGCTTTTTAGGGTGATGACTTTTGCAGGAGGGACAGTTTGTCTAGAGGGGTGTCTCTTACCTATCTGTGTGCTTGCTTTTGATAAATGACTTCTGTCCTGCTTGCTTCAGTGTCTTTGCTTCCCCCTCAGCGCTCTCTTGCGTTAACTTACGTAGTAATTTTCTCTTCAGTGTGGTAGAGGTTAACGGAAAGTAACTCTCTCCCTTCAGATACTGATGTAGGATTGAGGTAAAGAAGAAATGCAGTTGTAGATCTAAAGCAGAATTAACCCAGGGCCAGTGGGTCAGAGGGTAAGGAGAATGAATGAATTGCATGATTTTAATTTTAGGTGAGGAGGGGAATGAGTCGTATACAAAAGAAACACTCATTTCTCTCTGAGGAGCAAAGAAAGAAAGGGAGTATTTACAGTGGCTGTTTCTGTAAGGTCTTGGGTAAGAAAAAGAGAAGTAAAGGGAGAATATCCCACCAGGCAGGAGCTTGGGAGCCTGAAGTGCTGTGCTTCTTGGAGGGCAGGGAATTGCCAAAGAGCTGGATGAGACAGGAAAGTTGCAGAGATGACAGATGGGGGAGAAGCTGATTGCATTTTGTAAAAGCATGGCTCAGACTTGTAAATGGTAGAAAACAACCAAGAGTCATTAAAAGAGATTTTGGAATTAGTTACAGAGTAAAAATTACAATTGATTTTTATTGTGATTTTCAGGATTGGAAAGTGATTGATGATAGTGTAAATGGAACAAGTATCTTGAACTACTGTTCAAGAATTATTTTTAATTTAGGGTAGAGTCTCAGTCTTAAAATAGTCTATATCAATAGGATCTTTCAGCCCTGACTTCAAAATAGTAGCTGCTACAATAAAATAAGGCAGACATTTATTTTGTTTTCAGTATTACATACTGATATTGAATATTTTTTGGTTGGTTTGTTGGTTTACATTTTCTACATGTGTAGAACTGAACATATTTGCTTTCTAAAGTGGTAGCTGAGAAAATTAAATTGAGAATGAGGCTGGTTTTAAGTGACTGTCAACTTTAGCAGCAGAATTAAACTAAATACATAAAATAAACATCCAGAATCTTTGTATTGGATCTTAAAGATAGGCCAGTTATTTTACCAAAAGATGTTGCTGTGTTTAGTAGCAATTAATTACGGAAAGGGTTTTGAAGGATGTGAGGTGATTTTAAAAAAATATGAAAAAAGAATAATTAGATCTTTATTCTCAGTCCTTGGCCTCTAAAGCAAAGTGTTGGACTTTGTGTCGTTCATTGTGACATTGTGATTTAATTAGTCACAGCTATTGGCATAAACAGCTTACAGAAGAATGTCCACTTTCAAGCATCCTTCATTTTTACTTTGAGATAGTTAATGTGATAGAGTGAAAAGCTTGAAAACATTAAGCAAAAAGCACTTAGAAGCCTAAAAAAAAAAGCAGCTGTAGACGGATATAACCAAGATCTGCTATCTAAAGGGCTCCAGATCATAAAATGATCTAATGAATATGAGTAACTCGATATTTGAGGACTCGGGGTTTACAGACTGAGCATGCTGATTTAGAGGAATGTGACTTATTCATTACATGTGTCCTTTGTCTTGCTAAAATAATTTAATAATATTAATACTTTTGTTATCAATAGCTTCTACACTTTTGCATGTAGAAAAGTGCTGAAGTATTTTGTTTGAATACAGTACTCTGTATATGCTGTGGGAAAAAAATGTAATTTTGCTCAGTTGTGGTAGAAGAGTTTTAAATAGTTCTGCTTTGGAAAGTTACAGACTGGTGTGGAATTAAATGGTAAAAAGCTATTAAAAATTATGGACATTTAAAAGCTGCAGGAAGTATTTCTTAGGCTTGAAAGTGGGCATTTTGAGTAGTTACAGTAAATGTATTCCATTTCTGAGCAGCCTAATTTATGAAAGCTCTGCCTCCCATTTGTACAAGATTACAAACAGGACAAATTACTCAGTGACCAGCCAATGCAGCTGTTAGTAAAAGCCTAGAGAGTATAGGCCTGATTAGTTAAATAAGCTGGATTGTTGCCATTTCAAAGGATTCAAAATGAAAAACAAAAACATTTTGAAAATAAATTACATGCTTTAAAAGAATGCAGGAGAAGATATTTAAGTGGAAGTAAAAGATTAAGAATACTTTAATGGATTGCATAGTAGAAATAATATGATAATTTGATAGGTGATGACAATATGATAGAGAATTATGCTAATCCATTTTAGGAAGAATAAAGGCAGATTTACAAGCAATGAGAAATATCTCTTGGCTCACTATGAACCTGATTCTACACTTTGTAAGTGAAGGGTATTTCTGACTTGTTTTGAATATTGTACATCTTAGAGCTATGACAGAGAAAGATAAACTATTTAGGTATGCAGTTTTGAAGCTTCAAACCATACTTACACTGTAGTGCTTGCAAGTGTCTGCTGCTTGCTTAACAGTTTAGAGAAGCAGGCATTATGTAGGATATATGGAAGTATGAGGAATTTATGTGTTTTCAAATAAACCTGTAAACAAACTGTTTTATTTAATGTTTATAAAATTTTCCAACCAGAACCCTTTCTTTACCAATAGAAAAGGAAGGCATATTTAGTGTTTGTCTGATCTTTTTTCAAACATAAATATTGTTTGAGCATTTAGAATCACAGATATGTTGGCTGCAAGGGACTCCTGAGGGTCATCTAGTCAAAGCTCCTGCTTGGAGCAGGACAGTTGCTAGTACTGGATTAAGCCAGTCCCAGATGTAGACCTTTGTACTTCTTTAAGTTCATGAGGTTTCTGTTTTCCAGTCCTGCAGTTTCTCAGCACCTATTTGAAGTGACTGACTACCATTCAGCATGTCAGCCATCCCTCTAATTTAGTATCATTCACATGTTTGCTGATGGTACATTCTGTCTCATCATCCAAGTTATTGATAAATTTATTAAACTGTATCAGGCCCAGGGTACTCTTACTGTTACTAGCCAGCAACTGAAGCAGTTTGAAGCCGTCAAGTCTCTAAGTCTCTCTGCCCACCCAGCCAGTTTTCCACCACTCCAAGAGTCCACCTGGCCTCAGCTTCCTAGTGTGCATGCTATGGGAGATGGTGTCAAATGATACAGGACACAGGAAGGTCAAGGTATATTGTATCCACTGTTGTTCCCTTAGCTGTGTGACCAGACACTTCATCGCAGTAGGTGTTCAGATTTGTCAAACATAATTTGCCCTTGGGAAATCTGTGTTGAATCTCCCTGATTACTTGCTTAGCTTTCACACAGGTTCCAAGCTCTGAGCATTGTTCCCAAGACTGAGGTGATGCTGACTGGCCATGGGCATTGCTTCTTGCCTCTTTAAAAATCACCATGCCTTAGTCTTTTTTCAGTCGATTGGAGACTTTCTCTGATAACTGTTTTTCATAGGTAATAGACAATTGCCTCAGGAGCATGTCAGCTGCATCTCTTACCAGCCTGAAGTGTAACCCATCTGGTTCTGTGCATTTGAATACATCCAGCTTCTCTAAGCAGTTGCTGGCCCCACTCCTACTTATCCCTCTCCTTCCCAAGATGTACTGGTACAAGGAGAGGTCTGGGTGCAGGCTTTGCCTGTGAAGACTGAGACAAAAAAAGTGTTGAGTACTTCAGCCTTTTCCATATCATCTGTGAGAAGGTTGTCTTCCCCTTCAATCAATGGATGCACACCTTCACTTCTTTATAATGCTTTCATACTTCTGAAATTCCTGCTTGTTACCCTGTATATCTATTGCTAGTTTTAGCTCCCGCTTAACTTTGGCCTTAACTTTCTAATTTAATGGAAATAAAAGATGAAAACAAGCCATGTCAAATAGTGAGTATTTAACTTAACAAATACTTATATGGATTTTTCAGGAGCTGGTGATTCTGAAGACGGCCCAGTCATCATGGCTCATGCTGCTATTTATGTGGGTTTTACTGTTTCTCAGTTACTGAGAGGTGCTGGCAGAATTTTTCCCACTCATTCTTCATTGGTGGTGTTGAGGCACTCTGCTTTTTGTTCCTGCACAGTGAACAGGTAGTTTATCTATCTACAAATGCCGCTCTTGCTCCTTTTTTTTTTTTTTTTAAGAGAATGTAAAGATAACACTGTCAGAATGAAGCTGACAAATTATTATAGACCTATAAATACTTATTAAACTCCCAGTTGTATGTGTATATTCAAATCTTATTTAGATTTTTGTCATCTGGAACGTAGACTGGATTACACACTGGCAAATTGTTATGTTAATAGAATGCATATCAGTAAGGGGGAGTAGCACTGTTTTCAGAATGGCAATTCTCTTTGCTTGCTTTTTGTTGCAGCACAATAAAATCAAAGAGGAAAATGGATCATCTGGAGAGGACGGCAAATAATTTTCGCCATGAGGTCAGTGTTCTGTTCTTTAGGATGTATTTATTTTTTGGTGTGAAGAAACAGGATATTTGTATTTGATTCTTAGGATACATTTTCTCTTTTACTGGAGTCTGTTTGTACTTCTTTCTCCTCATTTTTTGAATCCAATATTGTTGTAAAGTAGGTATATTTTGTGGTAAATGGTTGAAATGTAATGAGTCATAAAAATTGTTGGTGCCACATGATGTGGTTTACATTGGACAGAAATTTAATAGAATTCTGGTCAAGTATGGATTGTGACAAGTAATGAAAGCACACCGATACCCATCATTTCTACACAGGCTTCTCAGATTTTTATGGGTTTCTACAGTTCTGATTCAAATTTGAGACTAAATGTGGAAAATGTCATTTTATAACATAAGAAATGAGATTAAAAGTGTAGAAATTTTGAAGGGAGAGATGAGAGACAGTTGTAAAAAGGATCTTAGTTTGTATCTATTTTAATTCACAGATACAAGGAAGATAGAGGATGGTTCTCCATCCAAATCCAGAAATACTTGTTCTGGATCTCAGTTTTGTGCAGTGAGCATTCTTTTTCATCATGTTCAGAGGTGAACATACTCTTGTACTTTATATAGGCATTTCCTCTAATTAGCTTAAGTAGATCTTTTGAAATTTTTAAATACTGGAAGAATATGACCTCGGCTCTAAAATGTTTCACTAGTGAAACAATTCTGCATTTTTCTTAGACTTATCAGAAGAAGTACAGCACTTTTTTGACTGCAAAATCCCATCTTTAACTCCCAGGAGCTGGGAAACGCTGCCCAGTTTTTCCGCCATTGTTAGTTAGCTTCTCTCAGTCTTGAGTAGCCATTCATGACACGCCAGTCCTGCATGTATCACACAGCAGGACAAAACTGTGTGTTCTCAGACACGCTACACAGATGTTAATGTGTGCATGTGCACATAATTAAGTCCTTCTCTGCTAGGTTTTTCCCTAAGTATAGTTGAGAATAAGTCACAGACCTAGTGAATTCTTCTTGAAAGGAAGCTGGGTGGAGGGGTTATATAGGTAACCCCCAAAACTGAAGATTCAGCACTTGTGATATAGCCAGTAGGTGGATGAGACAAATGCAAGGTTGTTCTGCCTGTTCCAGAGCTGTCAGGGTGGGAGCCAGTTTTGGGAACCATGTGTCCCAGAGCTGTGCCTCAGCTGCTCGCACCTGCTGTCAGCTCTTAGTGGAGTACAGATCAGGATTGCTTGTGGACATACAGCTGGTCAGATCCAATTTATGCCAAAATAACTCAGAACATGGACAGAATGAGTGTAGAGACAGGTACAGACAGATGCACATTCTTGTTTGCTTCTGACATGAAAGAAATAATTGCACTTTTGAGTTTTGTAACCATGGGTTTTTTTATCTTGGATATTTGTGATTGCTTGGCTTGCTTACTTTTTCTGCTCAACATAGATGCTGCATAGCTGGAAAATATGCAGGAAATAGATCCTTATGAGATGTTGGAAGCTCTGAGGTGGTACAGGGAACTGTCTAAGGCCTGAGGAAGAGAAGGAAGCTGTATGAGATAGGTGAATGAGCAGGGCTCAGTTCTTGCTGCTGCACATTCTCTTTGTATCAGATGGTTATGCTGTTTCTTTTTTTAATGCCTGATTTATTCTTTGTTACTTTATTTCTGACCACTTTAAAATCAGTTTATTTTCAATCCTCTGCTTGGTTTTAAAGTCCATATAATCAGTGGCTGGCTTCCCTCAGTCTGTGTTGCCTTATTTGGCCATTTCAGTCCTGTAGAAAGATGAAAGAATCATAGGTCTGTGTTGCATTAGTGGCATGCCACGCAGTATCGGCTGTTGAAGAGTGGTAATGTGAAGGACTAGGACTGTGAAGAAAAAGTGCCTTAACACTTTCTTGAAACACAATGGCAAAGTCTGGAATCCTGTGTCCTCCTCCCTCTCACTGCACCCTTGCTCTGGGTCAGTTGGATGCTCTTGTGGTGGTCTGAAATACTGGTTAATTGTCTTTGATCACCCTGACTCAAATTCAGTTTTTGTAATAACTCTATACTGATTAAGAATTAAATTTCCAGTGCTCTGTCAGATATATCAGACAAAGAACAAATTAGGGGGTGTACTGAAGAGTAAAGAAGGGAATGAAGAAGATCCAAACTTCATGTAATGTCCATTTCCTGTGCTTAGTCTTTCTCCATCAGAACAACCATTTAAGTCATGTTAACTCTTAAGTGATTGCATTCCCCATTTAATACTGTCTGCTAAAGTGGAAAAGAATGTATGCTACTTTATTTTAAATTGGCAAATGTCTTGCTGTTTAATGGGACAGTGGATGTGTTCAGATGTTGCTTTATGAATAAATTAATTTCCTGCCATGTGTTTTAAATTAGAGTATAATTGCTTAAAGTTTAAAATTTTTTTGATCTGTTTGATCTTACACAAATGAGAAATGGTAGAGTTGTGGTGGTATTACTAGTATTTCCTAGTGTGGTAAATGACATCAGCTTTTTTTTAATAGAGTACAATCTGTATATTGGCATGTGTAGAAAATATTGAGGACCTTAATTTCTTTGTAGAGGAAAAAGATTTATAATTAAAACTCAAAAATACCTGAAGAGGAAGGGCAGGGAGAAGATGAAAATCCATGTTGTTCTGATGGGCATCAAAGAGTTTTAACTGGGGAGCTCCTCCCCAATAGTCCTGTTGCAAAATCTGCTTTTCATTTAGAAAAGCATTATTTTTCTTTTTTTGTTGTTGTTTTTAATCTTTTTAAAAGCAGTATCAGGGATGGCTCTTGCATCCTTTCCCATCTGGTTACCGAACAAAAGCTCTTCTGTTAACAAGCAATAAACACTTTTGTCGCAGTTTCCCTGTGTTCATAGATCACATACGTGGTCAAATGGGTATGTACATATGTAAACACAGTAACACAAGGTTTGTTGGTTTTATTTCATTAATGTATTATGCATTAATGCATAATCTTTCAGTAATACATTTAATTAATTAAATAAAACTAGATACAGATCCGGAGTTCTCCCTGGGACTTAAGTAGCAGCTCATCTTTTAGAAGTTTCCTTTGTCAGTCTTTGTATCGGAGATCTTTTCACTTTGTTGCTGGAAAGATACAGGAGTTTGCCTTCTACAGATGTCAAAAGAATCTGAAAAGTGGTAACTAGCAATCGCTTCTCTTTATCATTATGTTCTCTTCAACTGAAATGAAGTAAGTGTGTATATAATCTTAGAATAACCCTGACAAAAGTGACAGATGTGGTGGACTGTAAGTAGAAAACCATTTCTCCATTCAGTGACTATGTAAGTGAGTCCATTTTTTTTCTCTACCCCAGTAAAAAAATATTGGTGCTTGAGGTAATGAAACACCACTGATAACATGCAAAGTGATAGAGACCTGATACACAGATTCTTGAGTACGTTTGCTGCAAATGATATCTACGTAACACAATGGCTTATTTTCCTTTTATTAGGTAATTTCACAAGCAAAAGTGTGTGGAATCACCAATGAATCAGAGACAGTCAAAAGACTTCGTTTGGCTATGGCAAATAAAGATTTTACTTTCAAAGCAGGACAGTGGTAAGATCTTCCAATATTTGAGGGGAAAATTACTGGCAGAAATCCTTTATAACAAAATGTTAAAAGGCCTTTGATACTTGAGCTTTGGAAAAAATCATCAATTTATATAGTACGATGTTTTATTATTGGGTGCCCTGTGAAATAGCTGGTACCTGGCATAATTTTAAAATAGCCATTATTAAATATGCTAAATATTAATTTTAAAAGGGCAAAAATGGGTATTTTTTAAATATTCCGTTTGTTTCGATATGTTCATATGCTTTATGTATATTAAGTTGTTTCTTCAAGAGTACTTTGAAGTACACCACAATTTATTCTGAAAGCTGTCTTTACTATCTTTATTTACCGGTTATTTTTACAGTGGAGCCAAGACTGCTGCTGATTAGCAGGTTACTTAGTTTTGGTTTATAATAAAATCAGAATTGCCTGTTAACTTTTATTTTTCCCTTAGAAGTTTCCATTCTGAAAATTAAGCCTGTTAGGTCAGATTAATATATAAATATAGATAGGCAAACTTGAAAATAAAAACAAAAACCCTTTAATTATTAAGCATTTGAAATAATTATCTGTTTAAGCAACCTTACAGCTTTTTTTCGCAGGGAAATAGTGGATTTTCATGTTTGTCTTCCTTCCTTTTTAAAAATACTCCTACTCAATCACTTTTTTTTTCTCTTAGAAATTAATTTAAAACTATGAGTTGCTTTTGGCATTGGTCATTTAAATGTTCTTGAACTTTTTATTGGCTTAGGCCATCTGAAAGTGGTTTTGCTGGAATCAAAGTATAGCTGCTAGGGTATTAACAGCATATGTTACTCACATAGTGTTAATATGCTGGCTTTTAAATTTAGAACCAGAACACAAGATGCTGATTGCAATAATTTGTTTGTGGGGTAATTTGCTGCAGTTTTTGCACATGTGCAGTGACTCATTGAATTCCTGCTTGCCAGTACTTGGAAAGTGCATTTACCCTCTAAAAATGTTTTAGAAATTATCATGCTGAAAACTGAAAGCTTTAATTATAATTACTCTTTTTCATTTTCTTCTTCCTTGAAAGTATTCTAATGCTATTGTAAGGGATACAACAACTTTTGTATACTTGTAGCTATAAACTGCGGTTGCATTTTTTGATGAGCAGTACAAAACACCAGGCCACAATTTCCTGGGTAGAAAAGGCTAACTTGTTACAGTTTGCTATAGGAAGATGTTACCAGCCAGCGAGTGTCACTGAAATGTATATATTTTCAAAGTGTTCTATCAAGTTTTTCAGAAGCAAAAGTGAATTTGTTTTGCAAGCATGCTGGCAGGTACTGATCTTTATCTGACTTCAAGTAATAATGAAGAGACTTGTTGCTGTTGCCTGTTTTGATTTACTAAAACATGCATTGAGGTATGTGCATGTTATAAATACTTTGAAGAAGCAGCTTCATGGTTTTAATGTTTCTGATCCCTTCCTCCAGCAACTGCTAATGGTTATTCTTAAAGACTCGCCTTAGGTAGCCCTTAAAAAGGAGGGAAATGAAAAACCACCATAAGATCTCTGTTTTACATCTTTTTGCACCTCTCCTTGTTGTGGGTTTATATAGGTTGGTAAAAAACTATTCTTTTAGCTTAAGCTGTCACAGATAGGTTCTTCAGGAGTCCTCTTATCCTTTCTACACACAGCTAAGATGACACAAGCCCTCAGAAATGCAAGATAGTCCACTATAACACAGTATACTTTGCACCAAAATCTTTCATTATGTAACTGGGAAAGAAATACTGATATAGAAAGAAACATCCTGCATACATTAGTATTAGAAGGGTAAGAAACTACATTCGATTTAGGTTTTACAGCAATGTTTGGTTTTGTGTGTATGTTTCCTTTATATGTCAAGGAGAACATTTTGACTTGAATGTAAATTGTTGCTTTACAGCAAAAATGTTTTGGGTTTTTGGTTTCTTTTTGGTTAATGTAAGTAGTAAAGTTATTTTCCACCAGAGGGTGGTAAAGAGCTTTAGTAGCATCCCGAGGAGTTGTTTGGTACAATAAATGCTGCAATACAAGAGTTGTTCTTTCTAATCTCTTACATCCTTACTGCTGGGAAAGCTGAGCCCCAGGGTCAGCGTGGCTGGGGCTCAGCTTTCCCAGCAGTAAGGAAGGGCAGGCTGAGGACAGGGAAATAAGCCTTCTCAACTTTTTTTTGGTTGTTGACCTTTCATTTCCAGTCAGATACCTTTATACACCATCAATTTTATTAGCATAAAGTTAAAAATTATATCACTGTAATATCATATATATCACACGTTGTGCATTCTTCGAGAGAAAGAGAGGATATTTTTCTTCGAAGGGTGAAGTTTTGTGGGGAGTAAGCAGGCAAGATTTTTTCTTTAAAAAGTAGTGAACTGCTCAGAGTGTTTCTCTCCTCTCTCAAGAATTTGTGATCTCTGTGAAGAATATAGCCTTACTGTTTAAAGAAAATATGTGTGCAGTGGAGGCCAGTCTGTATTTCTTGTTACATTCTCATTTAACTAATACTAAGCCAGCCTAATTCAGGCTTGAATTGAATAATGATTTTCCAGTACTTTGGATTGCTTACCAGTGTGGTTGTTTCCTAAGTGGAGCAGCACAATTAGTTTTAAAAACTAGTTTTCTTTTGAAATACAGGGGTTTTGTTATGTACCGAAGTATTTAAAGATTTAAGCAACATGGAGGAGTTTAAATGTTAATCATAAACCAACTTCTAACTTTTTCTGATTCTATTTGGAATATCAAAGCCTTGCTTTTATGCAAATGAATTATAGCTCATGTGTAGTAATGGTTTGCCTTCCATATTCTGTAATTGCTGGTGTTGCAAAAGCTTAGACATATGTTACCTTCTAATCTGTAGAAACTCATGCGTGGTTTACTGAAAAAAAATTGTAGTAATTTATTCCAGTTGAATTTCCTATCAACCAGAAAGAGCTATCTGCCACCAGAGTGCACTACAGTTCAGTAGGTAAAGCAATTCTGCTTCTAGTAACTGATTTTTCACATAAGAAATTTTTTATAGACTGTGGTTTTACTTCAGGTATTTCATCTTCCAAGAAAAGAAATTTTTCTAAAATTAGTTTCCCAGTCTTCTTATGTTTGAAAATTGAAGGGCCCATCAAAGGGACTGAAAAGAGTGGAATTTAAGCCACTCCATCAGACCATATTGTGGTTTTGTTTTAATGAACAAATAATTTATTTAAATACTTAGAATTCTAGTCTGTTGTAAGATGAGGCATCTAATGCTAAAAGCAGAACGGTTTAAAAACCTGCTAGTTTAACGAAGGTGATGACAAGTTTCTAGATGAAAATAATTCTAAGGAAATAAGGTTACTCAAGATTAAGTCCTTTTTTGGAAAAAGTTATGTTATGGAAATTAAGATGTCTTTGTAAAGGAAGGATAATTGAAACAGAGGCAGCCATTTTGTTTTGGTTATTGTTTCCCATGTTTGGGGTTGTTGGCTGTTTTTTTAAACTTTTGTTTCTGGTCTATTTTTAGGGTTGATTTCTTTATTCCTGGAGTATCTGTGGTTGGGGGATTCTCAATATGTTCAAGCCCTGGCCTATTGGAACGAGAAGGAATATTAGAGTTGGCAGTAAAGCACACTCTTCATCCTCCTGCTCACTGGGTTCACACTGAGGTAAATGTTGACTGTGAGATTTTGCACTTTATTTTCTTTTTTTTGGGGGGTGAAGGAGGACGGTGAATGTGATTTCAGACCACTTTTTGCTATTGACTGAAAAACTGTTGACTGCTTCAACCATTTTTAATACAATGTAAACCTTAAAACCTTTTGTTCTGTAAGGGACTGAAAGTGAACGTTTATATGGTAATAGGGTTATTGTAATCTTTTGACTGTGCTTGGTGGACTTACAGTGATATTGTAGTTAGTGCGTATAAGGGCTCTCTCTTCTTTGGAATTCATTAACTGAAAAACCTCTCTTCTAACTTGTGTTCCTGAGAACAGGCTGGTACACATTACGAAGTTGTGTCTAGTAACTTGCCATCATTCCTTGCTGTTTCTACAAATACAAACTAGGAATCAGAATGCCAGATAAATACAAATATAGATTTTTAAGGGAGAGCAAAGGGAGATATTTAGATCAGTTTTTATGAAATGATAAAACAACAGAGGACTTTAATATTTCTATAGTACTCTTTTAATTATGCAATATTTTTGTAATATTGACATAACCCAAGACTTGATTTTTTCTATATTAAAATTAAAGTCTGACACTTTGGCATCTTGCAGTGTTTGTTCATTTATTTACCCCATTGAGTTTTAATCAGAAAGGTCCTATTTCTGCTGCTGGTCATATTTCATAGATGATCTGTCCCATCAACTTTTCTTTTTTCACAGCCCCCTGTGATCTGTCCTATTTACTGTTCTCTGCTTGGCATTTGTATTTCTGAAATGTGGTTGCAAGGTTTAAATTGGCAGATTCTTCCAGGTTTACAAATACGTCAGTTTTGTTCAGTGGCCAGCAGAGTTACAGTAAATATTGATGCAAATTTACTAGAATTGAGAATATGCACGTGGTGCTAATTTAGTAGTTAGCATGTGACCATCCACAGTATTTTAATTGGTGTTAAGGCAAGTTGTCTGCACTGGAACATAAACAAAATAACCTTTGTGAGATGTGGTGTAGAGCTTGTAGTACACGTGCCAGCAGACAACATAGTACCTAAGAGGATTGCCTGATTTTTTGTATTGCTCTTTAGAGAATAGGAACGCCTAACTTCATAATTCCCAATCTCTGGAGGCTCTTTTAGGATTTTTGATGTTGTAAATCAGTTTGCTGTTGCTGAGTTTTCTGGCTGAATTTATAGGAAAATCTTTAGTTAGCGGGTAAGCTAGGTCAAATCTGATGCTGTGGAGAAACCTCCAGGGTATTTATGGACTCTTCTAGCTAAACAAAAGCACATGCATTTCCTTAGGTAAGAAGAAGAAAAAAATAACAACCTAGAATTTGAAAAGGTTGCATATGTGGTGAAAAAACGCTGGTACCTAATTATTTTAAAATTATTTCTAAAGGAAGTTGGTATATTAGGGTAAAAGATGTTATGGGAATAGTTAGTACGTACTTTTTTTCAGAGGTATTTATATTTATTCTTTAATATTACTGTATATAAAATCATAAAATTCAGCACAGTGTACTTTATAGCTTAGGAAAATATAGCCTTTTATTTAGAAAAATGTATGTGTAATGTATTGATTGCTTCACTTCTCTGAACCATTTCTATGCTGTATTTACAAACTAGGCTGAAGGACAACATTTTCTTACCATTTTACTCCACAAGGTATTGGGATTTTTTTAAGAGACTGACTTACTGTTATCATTGCCATGGTTAACACACTGAAGTATGTGGGAGACTGCTGGTTAGGAGAGGTTCTTCCTGTCTCCTATGTCCCGTCATCATAGAATCATAGAATGGTTTCAGTTGGAAGGGACCTTAAAGATTGAGTTCCAACCCCCCTGCCATGGGCAGGGACACCTCCCACTAGACCACGTTGCATCTTGATGAGCTATGGCTGGTTAAGGAGGCAGATTAGACAAGAGTGAGATTGCTTCTGCCTAAAAAATGCTTATTTCCGCAAAGGATACCATATTCTGTGTCTTCCTTCTGCCACATGAATCTGGACTGGATTCATGCTTCTCTAAAAGAAAGTAAGACGTGGTGGGAAAGCCTGGCAGTGTACACTGAAAAGGGAGAGAGAAATTAGTTTCAGATAATAAATGCTGATCATTGTACACTATAATTGAGAGATTATGCAATAATTAAGAAAAGCAAAAAAATTTTATTTACCAGTCATGCTCCATATTTCAGGACCTTCTGTGTTCTGTGCAGTACCTGCATCAAAGGGCTTCCTTCTTCACCCTAGCAGAATTGTTACATGTTTAGACCTTTGCTTACTATACAGTTGTCATTAATGGAAATCCTTAAGTTTCAATTACTGTTTCCTGATCTCAAAAGGATTTTTTGGAGGAAGCATTTTTATTCTGTAAGTGATTAACTGCTAGTTTTTTAGCAGTTCTTGTAGCTTTACCTTTTTTTTTTTTTTTTTTTTTCCCTCCTTTCCCACCTTTCCTGGTTTCCCTGTCCTCTTTATTTTTTAAACCCTATATATGGCCCAAAATGAGTTCTGGTTTCTGCCTCAATTTGTTCTGTTAGCTTGCAGTGATGTGGGAGAACTCACTTGACTTCTCTGTACTGCAGTCTCACCCTTCATATGAGGATGCAGTACCGGTTTAGCAAGAAGATACTGACCCACATTTTTTTTGTTGTTGTTGCAGCTTTAGTTTTCCAAGTATCAAAAACCCCCATGCTTTGGCAAATTTCTCTAAAAAATAATTTAAGTACAAGTGGAGAGGAAGACAGAAGGTTTTCGCTTGATTTTTCTTCTTCTGTAACTCCAAAGTTGCAAGTGTGGAAGTGGTTCTGCAAGAAATATTCTTGTGGATGCTTGCTTCACTTTTAGGTGTTTTTTTATTTTTTAGGAATGGGGATGGAGAAACCTTCTGCATGTATTCAGCTCATTTGGACTTCCTTCTGTGACTTCATAGCAAGGCCTTTTTTGACATGAGGCTAGGCTTGGGTAAAATGGTGATCTCACATGTTAACCTCAGGTTTTCACAACCACCCACTGCTGTTGAACTTGCAGGAATCATTCCTCTTTCAGCTCTTATGGGGGTGGGAAGGGGGAGTCACCATCCTGCCTTATCAGAAGACTGAATCTTCTGAAAGTGGAGCTAGATCCCTAGAGACACTGAAACAGATTACTTCAGGATAGCTGGAAACTGCATTTATTTTAACGTACTTCAGTTTTCCCTCGCTGGTCAATAAAAATAAAAAAATCACAGCCCAGCAAGTCTTGTGACTGTGGTGCAAGAATAATATTTCCACTTTTGCTTTTAGTTTTGAAATTAAATATCTTCTTTTCCATCCTAGTGTACTCTTGACTCAGAAGTGGCTCTGCGAGTGGGAGGTGATTTCTTCTTTGATCCTCAGCCTGGTGACTCCCCTGTAAAACTAGTGCTGATAGCAGGGGGTGTTGGAATTAACCCATTGTTTTCTATACTGCTGCATATAGCAGATCTTCATGGATACCAAGAGGGTAAAGGAAATGGATACAAAATGGGAACAGTGAAGCTGTACTACAGTGCAAAAAATACAAGCGAACTCTTATTTAAGGTAAATCAAAAGTTGTTTTTTTTTAAATAGATCTCAGATATTCAGCTATTGGTGTGTGTATCATTCTGTTGCCAAATTACAGACACTGTACAGAGAGAAAAGTCACTTCCTGCTTTAAATCCCATGTGTGTTTTGTTAATTGATTATGCCAGTGTACAAATTAAGGATGTTATTGGACATAACTGGCCTCACTGACTTCACTGATAAGTCAGTTACCCCTAAATGTCTACATTTTTCTGTAATCTCATAAGAGCATCACAGTGCACTAAAGATTATATATACTGTAATATATATGTGTATATACACACTAATAGTATGCATAATGCTATATGCTATAATACTATAACTGCATCATCTCAATACGGATTGCATTGAACTTAAAGACTAGCAAGAGCAATTACATCCAAAAGAAATACTTTCTAAAATAATAGGGGAGCTTTATTGATAGTGCATTAGTTATTATTGGGCACTAGCCTAGGAATGAAGGATTTATAAGCACTTCTTGTAAAATGCGTGTAATAGTACTTCATCAACATTTACTTAGCCCTTGTCACACTCAGCCGTTGAGGGTCACTGATAACATTTTAGGGTCAAATTAGCACCATCCCTAATGATTTCGGTTTCTTTGAAGTATTGAAAGCTTTTGATTGTAAGGTAAAGGTGAAAATTATCACGATTCCAGAAATTGTTTTGGGATCCATTACTAGGGGTTTTTTTCTGTACTTACACCGTATGTTTGCTTTCTTTGAAAAGTCATTTGTTTGTTCCTAGAAGGAGAATAATAAAGTGGAACCCATCTAATCTTCCATTTGGCCAACTACTCATCTCCCAGTCTGTTCTAAGCATGCCCATTTTTTTTCAGTGCGGGAGCTAGCATTTCCCGAGTTTCACTTCAGCAATGTTATTACAGCAGAGCTTTTGCATTAGAGCATCTAGGACTGAAAAGAACACAATATGTTGCAGTGCTTAAATATATCCTTCCCATCATTCTTCACATGTCCCTCAAATCTAGAACATGTATATGAAAATTCTTTACTTCTGTGCAGAGGATTGAGGAAATAGCATCACTAGAGTCTTCATGTTGTTGTGAGGTGCATCTGTACAGATCTCCATGAGGAAATGCTTGGTTGTTGCTTGCGTTTTGGAGGACCTGTTCCATGAAGGAGCGGCTATGTATAGTATCGCCCTTCGTCCCTGGCAGCTGAATGGAATTGGTCTAATACTCATTTTGGATGTGCTGTCATTTCACAGGCAGGTGCACTGCTTTTGAAAATCTTGTTACTTAAAAAGGTAGAAGCACATAGCGTTAGAATAGAATTACCCAGGATAGCATACTAACTTTGCTACTTCAGAGGCCAGTTAGCTGGGTTTTCCTGATTTCACAAGGACTCCATGTGACGCACATTTCCTTGTTGTGGCTGGGACACTGGAGACAGGGCTTTTCCCTTAAGTCTGTATTGCTCAGCTGTCTGCTTCATTTTGTACACTAACTCACTAGGCTGCAAAGAGCCTGCTGAGCTGTTGAAATTCTCCTTCATTCAGTTTAAGAGAGCCTGTCTCTTCGCCTAGGATACTGGAAAATAGTACTTTTGTGGTTTCATGGCACATATATAATACATGGCCCTTTCTGTCCATGTCACTTAATTACAGGGATAGGTTACAAGCAGGTGCTGTGAATGACTGCAGGATTTTTTTAGCAGGTTAAGTCCTACCTCAGGCATGCTTTCTGGCGTGGTCCTGTGACTTCAACTCAACAGGACATGATTGGTTTCAAAAGTTTTATCAAATTGTGCGTGGTTCCATATGAAGGGGACAGAAGTTTAGAGTTACATCCAGAACAGGGAAGGCAGGTCAATGTTAGAGGTACTAGTGGAACCGTGTACAGCAGTGTCCAGCTGTGCTGCTCTTCATCCCATGTCTTCTTAGGCAATCAGATTTGTCTATTAAGTAGAATCTGTCTGGTTGGTTTTTTTTTTGTTAAGCCACCCATGGCAGAATGTTCAGTGTAGTAACTAGTTAGTAAGTGAATACATAACAAAATGAGCTAATTTACCTATTTACAGAGTATAAGTTCTTTTTATTTCAGAATATTTTAAGAAAGAATTTCCAGTGTCTGTTCCAGCACTGACTATCCCAAGTAGTGCAGAATCTAGACAGTAGCTAAATCTTAGTTTCAGAACTAACTACAGCATCTGACTGAGAGACATTTTTTTTACTGCAATTTGAACTGAAGCCATTGGGGTTTTGGTGGTAGCTATCACAGTTGTGACTTAGGGAACTGAAAATTACAGAGCTTCTACTCTGGTAAAAATAGCATTAGCATTACATTCTAGTTGGTTTTACTTGGAGAAGATGAGAGAGTAAAGGGTCTAGTAATCTTTCCAGATAAAGCAATGAGACTCAAAAAGTTCCTAAAAAATGTTAAATACAAACCACAGGGTTTTTTAAAATGGAAAACCCATACGGAAGTGTAAGGAGGCAATGATGAGAATTTATATGGGGAAGAAACCAGGAAAGAATGTAACTGGTTCTTAGGTTCAGATCTTACATATTGCAGCCTATTGTAAAAAAGGAGGAAAGCACTAACAACATGCTGGTAGTGTATTCACATTCCAGTTGTGGAAATTCTGTGTATTTGTGCAGGCCAGCCCTTTGAAATCAAGCCTATGAAGTTCTCAGTGCTGAAATGTAAGAGTTTTTTGGTACTCGGTAATATAATCACTGGTGTTCAGTGACTGTATGCATACATCTGCTTTGATTTAATGGCCTGTGGTATAAGCAAGTGTGTTTAACATTACAGAAAAATATTCTTGGTTTGATGAATGCATTTCCTGGCAAAATCACATGTCATTTCCACGTTACCCAACAGAGGTCACACATCTGTAAAGAACTTCAGCCACATGTTACAGGTAAATATAATGGTAATGCAGGGAGATGACTTCTAAGGTCTAAAGTCTGATTACATCCTAGAGGATGAAGTTATATGCATAATTCAAAATGGAATATCAGTTAAATAATTTCACTGTACATACTGCATTTAAAAGAAAAATTTTCCCTTTGCAGTTTTTGTTCTCATTTCTAGCAATCCTCCTCTGTTAATTTTAAACTTTATACTGGTATTTCCCACTGCAAACTTTATTCCAGAAACTATTAAGCAAAGTATTTACTTTGCGTAAGGCAGGATTGATGAAGGATAAACTGACTGCTTGTAACAGTTGCTTCATGATGTTTCCCTTTCTCTTGTATTTGTGTTAGAGATACTTACCTATTTTTTTCCTCTGAATGTGGGATTTTTAGTTGCATGTAAGCCCTCTTCCTCTTCAGTGACTAATATCCCCTGCATTCCAGATGGAAATACGCATCTAAGAGCAAATGGTTTTGAAATTGAAAGCCTCAAATCTTGATACCTAAACAGGCCTGGCATTTTCAAGAAATGAGTGCCTGAAATACCTCTAACCAACCATTCTTTTTCAAATTACCTCATTATTAATATTGCTGTTCTCACTTCCTACTTTTTTCTTTGTCAGAGGGAAGAATATCTGCAAAGGATCTAGAAAAACACGTATCTAAGGATACTTTATGGTACATCTGTGGTCCACCTCCAATGATAGAATCTGTATCCAAACTACTATCTAACATGGGTGTTCCCAGAAACTGTGTTTTCTTTGAGAAATGGTGGTAGTGACACCTACTGAACAGAAAATATATTATTGTTTTCCAGTGTATTTTGATAAGCTGAAATGTACAGAAAATGAATATGAATTATTTGGAAGATTTTACTTCATACATGAAGATGTCCTCAATTGTGATGGTGTTCCTTTTAATTTAACTGTAATACATTTGCAATACAGCGCTGCTGCTTTTGGGGAAAAGATTTTATATTAAAGACATTAACTGTTCTTGGTTTTTGATGGTTTGCTTACTTCTTACGGGTGGCAGCATAGTTTCACTTCATACACTTGTTTTGTTCGTCAGCAGTTGCAGAGAATCGGTTGGGCAGCAATGCCAGGTCAGTTTGTAATAGATAACAATTCAGGCTACAACTTCTGAATCTGCTCCAAATTGTTGTGCTAATGAGTCAACACACTGCCTTCCCCAGTTCTAGATAATAAATTAATGTTTTATAGAAGTAGAGTTGCTGTGTTGTGACTTCCTTGTCACTTCTTGTCAAAAGAAAAAAAAAACCTTTTATGTGATTTAAGTCAACTGTGTTGACAGTAGAATTCATTTTTCCACAATCATATTAAGAGCTGATGTGTTAAAAATCTGTTAGCTATTTTCTGACAGCGCTGTACAGCGTTATTTGCGTGAACCTGTATCCCTTGCTGGTGCTGCGATAGCCCATCCAGCTTGTGCTTGCACGGGCCATGTCCTCAAAAGCAGCACTGGCCAGCACCAGCCGACAGGAAATCTTAATCCTGCTGCAGTGCAGAGTTTGAGAAGGCTCCACGACATACCAGTTCTGTTGGGAAAAAGTGTCTCTGGAAAGTTTGCTCTTTTGAGTGTACCTCCAGGTGTAATGGCTGATACCTATGCCCTTCTTGAACAAAGCTTCTTCCCTCAACTTGTACAAAAACTCATCATATAAATGTTGAGAATAACAAAAAGCCATAATGAGTTAATTATCTTTATAGAGAGTTCAAGTCCTTAAGTCGTAGAGATTCCCTTTGTACATTTGAAGACCTCAATAAGGAACCTTTGAATTATTAAAAATAATAAATTATTTTTGAATTATTAAATATGTTAAACAGATAAGGCCTTCTCTTTGTTAGTGGCTCATTTCTTGCCATCAGCATCCCTCCGCTCTGCCTTAAACAGAGGTTGCAAAGATACCCCTCCCATCACCTAGTCTCCATCTCCAGCCTGCAACAGTACTGCTGGTGTGAATTACATAATTTTTCAAGGATTACAGCCCTGCGCTTGGATAAAAAGGCTTCCAGCCCAGCTGTAGTTCTCTCCCAAGAAATCATTTCGGCTTCAGTATGCTGAGTTTAGCCTCTAGTCTTACCTTCTTTTTATCAGAGTCTCTGGTACATTTTACAGCTTGTAGGATACCTGCTGCCACATCCATACTAACTTCATCTTCAAACAGCAGTGAGACGCTCTTAACAAGGAGCTACCCAGCCCTTGCTTTGAGTGCAGCACAAGAATACTGCTGTAATTGTTGCAGAAGTCGATGGAACAACTAACTGAAATCATCCTGGAGGTTTTCAGCAAACTGAGCTTCAAGGAGAAAAACCAGTACTTACTGCAGCTCAGAACAAACAGAACCAGGCTGTATTTTGCATCAGGAAGAGGTGAACACTGAATGATGGACCTTAAAGATGGTACCATGAGGGTTTGCCCATAAGTTTTCATCTCCTGGTGCCTGCCACCTCATCCGCTTAGGCTGGTGCTGTTACACCATGTGGTACTACACACAGGCTGAAATTATTTGCCTCCTCAGCAGTTGCTGCAGACCCAGAGGGGATGTCTCATCAAATTCCCTCCTTCTCAAATGAGAGGAAGATTCTTTCCAAGTACCTCAATTTCAAGGAATGGTTCCTTGTTTGTTCACTCTAGAATGTAAATAGGACAGTGTGCTTGTCACAAAAAATAAAACCAAGCGGGTTTTGCGTTCACAAAATTGCAACTGACATGTTGGAGCTTGATGCTTGAAGGAAGCAGGGTTTTTTCCTAGAAATGTGCAATAAATTGCTAATGGGAAACACTGGTGACCTAAAATAAAAACCACACACTAGGCTGCTGCATGTTTTAACAGTGTAATGATAAAAACATTCTGAGAAGCCTTTAAATGTTTTCCTTATGACTTCTAAATCATTAAGGGGATTATAAACTGGTTTACCCTTTTTTTTTCCCCTTAATGCACATGCTTTCTTCAGCCCAAATGACATCTCTTTCACAAACCACTCCTCTGACTTGCACCAAAATGTCCATTTAACAAAAGGCATTTCAAACCTCTTTGCTTCTGTAATCATCCTCCTTCCCTCTAACCTCTTTCTGTCATCCTCTGTTATACTCAGATTGAGTGCTATGGGGCAAGGACACATCTCTCTCATTGTATGGGCTCACCCACATGGAGAGTACTATTAAACGTGCACACACTCTGCACCAAAAGATGGAGAAAGAAAAACTTCATACCTGCTCCCCCCCAAAGAACAGGAAGTTCTTTCTTACCTTGACCAGTTATCCTGCCAAAGGGCACAGAACACCTTCATGCCATAATGCACATAATGGTAATAAAAGCCATTGCTGAGCCAAGAAGCCAGGAGAGCTGTTACCATCCCCTTCCCCCATAGCTTTTCCCTGTTGACACTTCAGAATCTTTTGGAAGTCTCTCTAGAGTTTAGTGGTCGTGTAGTGATTGTAGTGAAACATCAGTTTCATCTTAAAATCTAATATTGGATCTGACACCACAATAAATGAAGAAGAAAAAAAAAACAAACACAAAAAACCAAAACAAACCTCAGGAAAATTAACCTGTATAAACATATGTTGTGCAAATAATGAAGTAAGCGTGATCTTAGCCTACACTGGTGAGAAGAGAGAGCAACCCCTGCTGTTCAGCAGCTACCGAGTTGGAGAAATATTCTCATCACGTTCTTGAATAGTAACATTTAATCTTAGAAAAATGTTTATTCCTCTTATATCAGCTAAGGAATGACTTAAGGATTAAAAGTAGACTGGTAGTTACTTTTTTTTTTTTTTTTTCAATATGAGATATGTGCCCATCTATATATTGGTACTTAGATTGTGTTAGAACCTTATTAGACTGCACCTTCTTGCATTTTACCAGTTTGCTATGTGCTCATCTGATCCAACGAATATGAAGTATTCCTATAGGATTTGCCTTAATTAACTGGAAAAAAGAGTGGCTATTCAGTTATCATTACATCATTTTAGTTAGTAGGGTGCTTTTAGAGGAAATAACAGAAAGCACTTACAATGAAAAGCCTCTTTTTCCCCCCTTCAATGTATAGGTAATGTACTGATTAGAGGCAACCGCCACATTCGGCACCACAGGCACCTTTCTGCTGATGGAGGCTTTTGCAAAGATCGCCTTTTAAAGCCAAAAGCTCATCTCCACTAACAGCCTTGGAGACATGAATTGCATCTATAACTCTTAATTCCTAGGTGCGTAGGTAGTTAGCCTGCATTCCTCATAGTTTTGAGAAGCGTTTATCATCAAGAAATTAATATCTGCTCTTCTTAACACTCTTCAGTTCTGGGAGGATGAAATTCCTGCATGAAAAGCTGATCGTGTTTTTTTGTGCCCTATAATTGGCTCCCTGAGGCAAATGTACAGAGTCACAGCAACTACAAAGAAAAAGCAGGGTGTAGCAGGGTATCCAAATGCAGAGCCCTTCCTCTGCTCACCTTAGAAACTGAGACTGATAGAGGAGCCCAATTAGGAAAAAAAAGAAGTATATTGTTTTGTACTTAGCTTCATTTCCATGCACGTGTTAAAGCTACTTTGAGCTATTTCAATTATATTGTTTTCAAGTGCACAGATCCAATTATCAAAGGAATTATGCAAGATGAAGTGCCAGTCAAATTGTGTATTTAACCCCTCCTGAGCTCTACATATGCTATTTTCATTATGATACTTCAACATTTTGGGCTTCCTACCCCATCATCATTCTGCCCCTCTACCCCCACACCCCCCCGCTGTCTGTTTCAATATAAAACCCCTTTTCCATTGTTCATTTAATTCAGCCACTCCTCTTTGCCATCTTCATTCAGCCTTTGACATTTCCACTTCTCCGAGCTGGATTTTCTCATTTGAACTCATCCCATTTAACCACTGTTGTCTTGTTCAGATGACCACCTGCTCTAAACACCAGCACGTGTAACTCCTTCTCCCGACAGAATAGCCAGCATGCTCCTTCCTCAAAGACAGGCAACTCTCGGGACTGGTCTACACACATGAGTTTTGTTGGTCTAACAAGGACACGTTCATGCGAAAACACACCCAAGTGCCACGTGCGTGTGCTGTCATGCTTCATGGTCACCAGCCAGGATCAGTAACACGTGGCAGCACACCCCGTCAGCTCCTCCCCTCGGCGTGCGGGCAATACTCACTGGTGTCTCCTTCCAAGAGGAACATGGTAAGGCTAGTTTGCATCCTTACTGGGAGACTCTGCCTAATTTGGGGGAAAAAATAGGTTGGGCTTAAAATGGTGGCTCTCTGTGGAAAAGGAAAGGGCCTGACTTCTCTCTCCACTTTCTGCTGGGGGTGACAAACCCTGCTGTGGAGCTGGTGTCTCAGAGTGACTGTGGCTCCTCTGGGTAAGAAGTCAGCATAGAGTCCTGCCCTTCCCCCATGAGCTGAAGATCAAGGCCGTACCTCTGCAGCCAAACTCCTGTTTCAGCTTCTCCCACATACCATGTCTCCACTGTTGGCATATTTCCCCACATTGGTCAGGTTTTCAGAAACAGGAATTAAGCTCTGGCCTAGCCCTTTCTCTTCTCTATTTAGGCTTCAAATAAGGTGATGACTGCTGTCTTTCACTTCCTTGGTTGCTCAGGTGCTGTTGCTTTTTCAAGCGCAAAATGGCAAATGCAGCTGAGATACACGATGCTCCTAACAGCTGTGGAGCCTTGCTGCTGTACCCCAAGCCTGCCTTCCACAGCCCTCACCACATCTGTATCATCCATCTACAAGGTGATTTAAGCTCTCTCAGTTTACTTGACAGGGGCACGGTGAAAGCACGCGCAACTCCAGACAGCTGAACTAACTCAGAGTAATTCACAGTCACAAGCTGGAATTGATTATGTGGCTATAAAACCAAATCGGTTTTCCCTTATTAAACTGAAAAACCAGGAATGTTCTCCTCAAATCTTCCCTGCCTTAAGCCACTCCAGGATTTACAGGAACAAAGTTTTAAATCAGCCTTTCACTTAAACAAGTGCAACTTCCTCATAGACCCTTCCATGCTCTATCAGACTGGTGACGGAAAACCAAGCAGCCAGTTCTCTAGCACCAGTAACTAGTGCTAATTCAGTAGTAAGGAGCTTCCCTTCATCATCACTTAAGAGACCCTGAGTTCCTCCTTCTGGGGACAAATCATTGGCAGTTGTGCAAGTACCACCAATAAGAAATCTCCTCGTGACCTTTATTTTTCTTTAGTTTTGTAAGCAGTTGGGATCCAGTTAAACAAGGTCAAATTGCAATCCAATAAAAGCTTTCTGTTCAGAAGTATTTGGAGAGTTCTTTCTACTGCAACACTTTATACGAGGAAAATGTTAATTAAATACAGTGAAATTTTAAACAAGTAATACAAAGCTAGTCTTTGAAATAGAAACCATCAGTAGAAGGATCTTATGCTAATAAACAATTTGCAAACAGGTACTTAAGACTGTACAGAGCAGAAACCTTGTATTTAAGCAGAACAACTGAAACAACCTATTTTTCAGGCTATTTGAACTCCAGTCTAATCTCCAAAACCAGAATGAAATAATTGAAAAATACCACCAGAAACTGAAGTTAGTTACAGTCTTGTGGTTAAACCACTGAATTCAAAATAATAAACTCTTTAATCAGTGAAAAAAAATACCATTGTACTTTGTGTATGTGAAATTAAATGGTTTAAACTTGAGTGCCGTTGTCCCAGTTAGATAAATATTCAAAGTGGTATGACCTTTCCCTTCTCTGCAGTGTTCTGCCCACTGGGTAATTTTTAGGCATGGAAGATGCTTTTGAACCACTCTGGGTGCACCTTTGATACAAACCATAGTACAGCATTTTGAGTTAAAGACTAAGGAAAGTTATCAGACACAAATCAGTCTAGGGAAAAAACAGCAAATCACTTATGGAGCTCTTGTTTTAGAAAAAGCAAAAATCAGGGAAATTTAGAATGTAGTTCTCACCTTGTTACCAGATTACTTGACCACTTCTAAATAGGGATGAAGGTGGCTAAGAAGAGAGGAACAGCTACTTCCTACCTTTTTAAGAACACTGAAGTACTTGGGGAACATCACAAAAACTGTATTACACATGTACATTCACCTGTAAATATTTTAAGGTAGCTCCAAACATAAAAATGTTGGTAATTTTACAGAATTCCATTAGGTGTCAGTCCCAAAAGATAGTTACTTGTATAAAAACCCCTCTGTTAAGGTATTTGCATTTTGTAAGTTCATTTAGTGGCATTTGTTGGCCACCCACCCCTGCTATTTGTGTACAACTTCAGTTTTTTCCCACAACATACTTTAGAGCAGTGAGGAAGTGGTGCAAAATCACCTGGAAGGGTCAGGGTTAACACTGAACTCAAATTTCAGTGAAGATAGCTACTGAAAGACATATATTTCACCTGCCTTTTTTCCCCCCCTGTTTTTCTATCTTCTGAAACCCCCCCAAGTAGTGAGGAACTGTTAATTGGCAAAGAGAACATAAATGTGAGTGAATAGGAAATTGCATTTTGTATCAGAATCATCTGCCTCACACAAATTTACCATCAGGTTTGTTACACAGTGTGCCTAAAACAGGCACGATTTGCTTATTGCTTAAAGATCTGCAAGAGTTAATAAAATTCAAAAGAGAGTATCCTCAGTCAGTATGCTATTTGAGATCGATACAACAGCCATCTTACCTAAGCTTTCCAATTTCAGCCTCTTTAAGCCCAAATACCATTTTTATGACACTACAAGCTTAATGACAAAATAACATATGGCACAATAACTTCTCCAGCAAAGATACGTGGACAAGAGAGTATTATAGAGTAAAATCTGACCAAGTGGAATGTTTGCCCTGTCCTAGATCCAAACCTAGTTTGCAAGGTTGGTCACTGAAAAACCCAAGTATGTTTTCTGTCCCTACATTTTAATTTAAGGTGTAGCTCCAAGAGATAGCGTAGGGCATTTCCCACTCTGTAAAAGTGGACAGAATTTTGCAATTTCTGTGGGTTAAAAAGCCCAGGCCCTGTAGTTACTTATAACATCAAGATACCAGTGTGCTAAGGAGCAAAGTACAATGCCAAAGAAATGCTGAACTGAGCAATGGAGTTAGCGATGGTGATTAGCAAAATCTGTTCTTTTTCTTGGCAAAGCATCAGCAACTCACAGGATTCTTGAAGCACAGGTCCTATTCGCAGGAGCAGTCAGTGTTACCCCCCACCCCATCGCTGCCGTTGCAGCTGTCCCACGCTGGAGCAGAGCCTCCCCCCTCTGTCACCGGATCCGCACAGCAGCCAGACGCGCTCTGGCTGAGGCAGACCTGCACGGCATTGTCGTCAGTATCGCCACTGGCAGGACAGGTTTCTTCTGACACCCCGTCACGATGGGTACCTCTGTCATTGGTCCCAGCTACCTCATCTCCCAAGTCTATGACGTCATCCAGCTGCTGTTCTGCATCAGGCTTGGCTGCTGTTGAGATTTGTACTTCTAAGATTCTTGTGTTCTCTGTGACTTCAAATTCCTGCTTCTCCTCTGCCGTTTGCTTCTCCTCTGCCATTTGCTTCTCCCTAGTACTTAATTTGGCCTTTGTGGATTTCTTCATTTGTTTGTTGTGCATGTCTTCTTTGGAGAACCTCCAGTGAAACTACAAGTAAGAGATCCAAATGTTACAGAGCGTTAGAGACAATCGCACACGGACATTTGCTTTCTTGAGTAGAAATGGTTTTATTATTTACTTTTAATTCGAAGAATAGTTTGACGAAAAAGACCTAAGAGTAAAAAACATTGCATGACTAAATCCGACAGCTTAAGATTATTTGTGCCTACACGTATACATCTATGACACAGAGAAAAGAGGCTGTGATGCATTCTGCTTCTGCTGTTTCACATGCCCAGTAGGTTCCTCTCCACATACTGTGTAGGCCTAGAGCATCCTGGCAGACAACCTGCACTGCGAGAAAGCAAGAATATGCAAAGCTGCACAAGTGAAGATGAAGGAAGCAATCCTACGGCATTATTCCAATGTTTTGCACCAGGTCAGCCGCAGAACTAACACTAGACCCAAAACTACACTTGAACAGTAAAATATTCTGAACCATTTGTATGTTGATGAGAAAGGATGAAGCTGCCTCTTGCAGCACTCGTCACAAGACTTACCACAGCCGCCCTTTGAGATGAACTGTTTTAATTACTTTTTTTTTTTAAAAAAAAAAAGGGAACTAGCACTACCTTGAAATACTGACGCAACAGTTATAACATATATAAAGGCTGACAAATATGCCACTAATGTATCTGCTTCATTTGTCAAAAAATAAATGGACCTTCCCCAGGAAAGCCAGACCATGATCTCAGCCACTGCTGAGCCATCCTACGCAAGTTTGCTGAATATGTGTGAATGTGCATGCCCATTGTGTTCGCGGTGCCCACACTGACGGCAACTCAGGGATGGGTTAGGAGGCGATGTTTGGGTGGCATAAATATTCTCATCAGGACATTCAGCAAATTCAGCTGTGGTCCAAAAGCCATTTTTTTCCACTGCAACAAGGTCTGTGCCAGAGTTGGTCAAAAGAAGGACTTGGGTTCATAAATTTTTGATCTGGTCTTTTTTTTTTTTCCACTGCAACCAGGTCTGTGCCAGAGTTGGTCAAAAGGAGGACTTGGGTTCATAAATTTTTGATCTGGCTATTTATTCCTTAATCAAAAAGCCATTCAAAACCTATTAATTTTCTTAGATTACAAAGATGCAGCAATGTTCTTTCCTTCTGCTAGACAGAACTTAACGTGTAAAAAGAAAGAAAAAAAAAAACAAACCCTGGCTTTCACAAGAGTTTTCTTGGTTTTAGATTTTCTTCGATTACAAAGATGCAGCAATGCTCTTTCCTTCTGCTACACAGAACTTAACATGTAAAAAGAAAGAAAAAAAAAAACTGGCTTTCACAAGAGTTTTCTTGGTTTTACATAGAGGAAGCTATCTTTCACTTAAATATCATTACAATTTAGAGAAAGAGGAAGGATAACATCTCAGTTCTAGAGCTCAACTGTTTAAGATTCAGAGACACCTGAATATTTTCCTCTTTGATTTGCGGAAGTGCTGGGCACCCAAAGCTCTGTTTGACAGAAGGTAAGATCAGGGCCCTAAATGTGATAAGGATCAAACTGTAGGTAGACTCTGTGTGCATCTGCAAATGTATGCATACTTAGGTATTTATATTGCATTTAACAAAAATGCATACAGCCAGTTTCTGCTGAAATAAGCATCACTTTTGTATAAAGTGAATGAACATGATTACACCTCATCACTGACTGAATACTGCACTAATAAGAGTACTTCTGTCTTACTGAAGAGAAAAAATAAGTTGTACCACTCCTTGCATGTTTCCTTTTCTGTTCCTGTGGCTAAACCAAACAGAGGCTGGCTGGTGTGCATAGATAGGATGGATCAGTTTCCAAAACTGCAATGGCCTTTTAATCTTATCAGCCTATTTCCCTCTGAGGGGTTATCTATAAACATTTTAGACATGCTGTATCACAAGTTAAAAAAACCCTGAGAGCCTGTGACGTTGTATGTGCAGAATATTCAGCAACATAATCAAATGCCGGGTCTGTCATCTTTGATGTGACTCACAACAACCACTTACAGACGTTGAACCAGTCTTACATTTCTGTATGTAACTATAAGCAGTGTTCCCCACTTTTCCTTGACCTTTGGTATGAAAATGTACTGTAGTGATTTTTTGCCCTCAAATATGTCTGTATATTTAATACTGCCAACAAGTAAATCCTTTGTTTTGTTAACCAGACATAAGTTTTTATATCCCTGAATGAAAAGATTTAAACAAAGTTTTGAGTCATCTGGATGGTATGCATTTGTTATTACAATAAAAGAGATCAGTATCATACTAATTTCTCTATTTGAAGACATATAATCACTTATAGGTTCCCACCCCTTTTAATAAACCACACACAGTGGTAGGAGAAGAATGACCAAATACAGGCACTCCAACCCTCATCCCAAGATCCCTTTAATCAGCTGAAAACAAAGAGGAAAAAACAAGAAAGATGGGCTTTGTAACACATTCACACAATACCCTGGGCTCCAGCTTCACTACTGAGAGAGGGTAAATCCTAAATTATAGTCCTGCTCCCAGCGGCTCCTACTTCAGTCACTTCAAACACTCTCCTGATCTCCACTGTATCTAAATGATGACTTTCACAGAACCAGGCTCCAAAACAGTGAGGGCTTTATAGATGAAAACTATCTGTAATTATCTAAAATGTTAGGCAAGACGCTCCTGAAGTGCTCAGCTCTGCTTAGTGTTTTCAGTCTCCTCCTCTAGCTCAGCTTCTGCAGGACCTTGAGCGCACCCTCTCCTTCAGGTGACATCTGGCTAGCCAGCACTCACGGAAGTGCACAGAGATGGAATAAAAATGAGGTTGCATTAATTAGCAACCTCTTCATCACATGGTTTCAGAGATCCTTTCCATACTTTACGTGCCTCTTCTGATCCCCTGCATGCAGAAAGAGCGAGGCAGATTTGAGTACAGTCCTTGTATTTCCCTCTCAGCTGTACCGCGTGACAGGTTTGGGCACGGGTTCCCACAGCTACACATTTAAAAATGGAAATGAGAATACATATGTGCATCCACATACATACATCATTAGCTGTCAGCTATGTTTTCAGATAATTTAGCTGGATTCCAGGCGCTTTTTCTGGATAAACTCTAGCAGAATTCATTAACATTGACACCGTAGATAGGAACACCAGCCAAGATCATGCCTACATAGTGCTACGCTCTATCAAAGCACAGAGTAAGAAAGAAAGCAATCTAAACAGAAAAGACAGACAATGGGTACGCGAAAATAGTAGGCAGGCAGTGAACAGAAGCAGAGAATTTTTGGTTACGCATGGAGGCTTATGGCCAGTTTATATGAAGAGAAATCTACATGTCTTCTGCTGCCATGAGTTCAACAGAGAATGAAACAGAAGAGCCTTCACATCATTTGAGCTTTTTTTTCTTTCATTTGAACAATACCTTGTGTCTTGCTACTGTATCACAGAAATGTTGCATAGGCCATTTTTATTTCTAGGGGAAATCAATTACAATATTAAAATAGCACCACCAAAAACCAAAGAAACCAGGAAGTCAAGGTTATTTACCTTAGATTCTTTCTTCTTTGCTTTCTGGGGCAAAGAAGGTCTCTGAAGAAATACAATTTGCTTTGTAGATAAATTCCCCTCCCTGAAAAGAAACAAATGCACACTCCTGAGAATGAATTAAATTCACATCCAGCACAATTCAAAGTGAAAATCTATCTCAGTCATTTATTTCTGCAGGTCAAAGAAGACCAAAATGAAGAATGACCTAAACATTGCCTGTCCGCAGTGTCTTCGAGCAGCCTGGTTATTTCGTGGGGAAAAAAGAGCAACGGTTCAGCCTGACAGAGCCTGTCAGCCTGTGACATACTTTTGCTGAATGTTTTAGCGTTAGTATGTAAACACAGAATAAATTGTTTGAAGCAAAAAGCAAGAAACCCAAGCGCCTCGGTGCCTGTGTGTAGCAGCGTCTCAGTGACACCAGAGTGCTCGCTGATCTGGAACAGGTCTGCGTGCTCCCCACAAGTCTGCACACGGCAGGAGGCACGACCAAATGTCACCAGTGGTTAGACTGCGTGGGTGCCCTTCTGCACTGTCAACCTGACCTGTGTTACTGAAGTTATAAATGGGATATGGAAAGTTAGGAGAGAAAGAAAACCATATTTACCTTCAAGAGACAGGGCTTACAAATCATAATTATGATTTTTCCATTCGTTTCTATATTTAAACATACATGAAAAACTTAAATACCATTTTCCCCCAGCACAGATGGCCTTAACTTTTTAGGCTTTATGTGTAGGAGTAGTCTTCATCTAGATCTCATACAGAACTGGGCGTATTTTTACTCTTTTAAGAAAAAAATCATGACTGATTATACTGGTGTATATATAAATATATTCCTGACCAGAATGCATCACCTTCATAATTAACAAGTGGGATGATTATTTTTCACCACAGTTATGAAGAGTATTTTTTAAATGACTTGTATTTATATTTAAAAACTCAGAATTTTAATAATGTGAACAAGGCTACTAGAGCAATGATACACCAATCTCACCTGGTTCTGCTCAGCTAGACTATGTATACCAGCAGCATTAGACAAACATCAATGAAGAATAAAATTACTTTCTTCAGATAGGCGTGATCTCACTCCAAATGTTATCACAGGTTTTGTTTGCTCTAAGAGGAGTTACTGGGCGATCCAGAGCAGGAATTTTACAATCAAGTTTACAGAGAGGCAGAGGCAATACCCAGAAAATGCCTGCAGAAACCACACTGCCACCTTGCAGCATTTTGCCCACCAGACACGTGCTTCCGGCCCCACACGGCTTGTGATGCTCTGAAAACCCAGCAAACAGCTGCAGCAGGGTTTGCAAGGGCAGCTACTGCACTCATGCAAGGAAATCCACGCTAACTGCACAGAGAATTGCTTGTACAGACTGTCGTGCTCGTACAGCAACTTCCCTGGCTGAAAGGCAGTGCCCATCCCCTCCCTACCTGTTTGTCTTCACAATGGGAGTAGGAAGCACACACGTCAGCTGCCAGCCATACATGGCAAGGGAATTCAGCAGCGGAACGTAATCTGTCTGCACTTCAACTCCCTAGGAAAGAAAAATCAACAGTTAGCATCATCACTTGGAGTGTGACAGTCAGTTTGACGGACACACACAGACACACACACACAAAATACCAAGAAGAAAAATGTGTGTGAGGGGGAAAGGGTTCTTGTACTGAAGTGGGTCATTCTGTATGTTCAGCTAGGCAGGAAGGAAAATGTTCAAAAACACGAGACACAGGACCAGTCACCCGTATATCCCAAACTGTTAAATGAGTTTGTTTAAAATGGTATACATCTGTGACCTTGTTTTTACACTGCCTGAGTAATCCATCTAGCTTTAGATGACTCCAGATCTGAACAGGACAAATTAATTGTATTTTACCAATTACCTCCTCCCAAGCAAAAAGATACTCGGGTAGTTAAAAAATTACAACATTGCTTTGCTTGGATTCTGCTCATGCCTAGTCTAGAGTAAATCTTTAAGATCTGTACTGAAATCCGTGGGGTTACTCTACCGTGATGGATCAAAAGCAAAATAGCTAACAACAGAAATAAAACAGAAGTACAAGTCTATTCCTTTTATCACCCACAAATACGCATTGCTTCCTTGTTATTTTGAATCAGGAAATCTGTGGGCGAGACCAAAAATGTTGCTTTGCAGTGCAGAAGTCTGTCTCCAGCCGCAGATCTACCCAACAGAGCCTTGCTAATTCTCGTTCTACTAGATGGCAAACCCTGTAATTTGGACAGAAAGAACCACTGGCGGTTTTGACAAAGATTGCTCCAGTGAGGTGTCTAATTGCCAAGACTTCCAGTAATTTAACAAATAGATGCAAGAGCGTATTTACTAGATTTTAATTTTAATAAACACAAAGCAGGCAAATGGTAACTCCTAGTCTCTGCAAATACAGCTATATTCCTTTGGAATGACAATTATACTTGCCAAAAAAGCTCAGGCACTTAGACTGGTTTCACGCGCATGTGAGGAGTTTTAACTGCCAATGCTGCGTAAGGCACAATAGTTTTGCAGCTCCAAAAAAATCCATTTGTTCCGTAGTAATAAAATAGTCGTTTGATCAGAACTAATCCAAATCCTGCTGTAGTTATTTCAAAGTATTTTAGTGAATTCCAATCTCAGCTGTTCCTTTCTTCTAACAAATGTAATTTAGGTCACTTGATATCTTCATAACCAAACGACTGCCTGACTATACCTATTAAAAACCTGATCATGACTACAAATGCAAATAGCTAAAGAAGCCGTATCACTGCTGCTTAAAAAGGAGAACAAAAACTCGACTGCAGAAAGTACATGCAAGAGAACACTCTGCTAATGAAACTTCTGATTTCTGTAGAAGGCTTTCAAGGGCTCACAGAAATACAGCTATTTTACACCATTACCATGTACAGACCAGAACTGCCAATTCCATGAGAGGAAGGAGAAGCCCTGCAAGATGGGAGCGATACCATGTGGCCTCTGAAGCGTTCATACAGCTGTGACTGTGGGAGATTTAGAGCTTCCTCAGACTCCCGTTTGCCTCCTTGCCCTTCCTGCTCTTTATACCCACTGTAAGATGGAAGTTTCTGCCGTCTTTCCCGTTTTTAAAATAGTGTCTGACAGTAATACTAACACAATTACATATATAGATGCCTTTAAGAGTTAATGGGTCAGGAAAACAGATTAATAACACACTGAGATTTATTAAATTGGTCAACAATGCCTTCCAAAAATAGAGATGAAAATATGCAATGTGAGCATCAAGAATAAGGTCAGAGCATCCGCAATCGCAAGCCTGCCTGGGACCTGGCAGGACACATGAAAGGATCTGACCAAAACACTCCCTCCATCAAACTGCGTCTGTACAGAAAAAAACAGAAGGAGCTCACTCATTTAGAAGGTGGAAGACTAGCAGGTCAGGAAAGACTAGCAAGGCAGACCTTATTTGTGCCCCAAGCAAAGTCTTACGTTGCAAGGAGGATTCCTATTTTGAATTCATTGCCTAAGGTTGGTGATTAGCAAGAAGAACCTTCTCCTTGCATCAGGATGTGCAACAAACGTCAAAAATCAGAGGGAGGTTATGCCAATGAGGAAGGACATCAATACCACGCAGAGCTCATCTGGCTGCTGCAGAAGCCAAATTGTTTCAGGGATGCGCCGTCAGTTCTGCCACAGCCCACTGTCCCTGCAGGCTCTGAGTGGTGAGACACGGCTGGCTGGCTTCGGACCTGTCTGACTCATCAGGATTAAGCATCATCTGCAGCAGATGATGTTGTATTTCACAACCCCAATGGGCAGAGGAAAAAGAGCAGGTAAAGCACATTCAAAAGTGTAAAGTTATCAGAAATTAAATGTCAGATTAAAGTCAATTAAGCTTCAAAAAATTTTAAAAAATCTGGAAAGGTAAAAAACTCTGTCGAAAGAGTGCTGTATAACAGTTACAAAAAGGCGAGCCCTTATTTTTAATATGTGCTGCGAGTCAGGCTGTTTGGAGGAAGGAAGCATGTATATTATGCAGAGGTGCACACCTCCTCCAAGCTCCACATGGTCTTTAACAAGCTCTCACCAACTCTGCATGATGTTTTGCTGGAGTCGGACGCCGCACCTCTTCTCCAGGTCCCTTGGGGAAAAACTACTCCCAATAATCGGCTGCATTTGAAGATGACAGACAAGAGAAAGGAGTCACTCCCGACTAAACAGGTGTAATTCATATGGGCTTCAAGTTCCTTACTTGCAAATACGGATAACTGAAGCTTTCTTTAAGACAAGAAATGACTTCTCCCTCCCCGCTCCTGAACCACCGATTGTAATCCACGACTGGAATTTGCGTGCCAACAGGAGTCACAGTTATACAGACCTTTAATTGGTGTCATATTAAATGCTTTCCAAAGCAAAAATGCTTCTAAACAAACAATACACTGGGGGATGGGTGTGGGGGAAAGGAGTCATCTTGTATTCATTTTAGATTTAATACAATCATTAAAAGAATTTTATCTACTATTATTTGAGACAATAGAGAGAAAATGTCAAACATACAGTTTCATAAGATGAAATTCCAGTGCTCTTTCTAGCTAGCAGATATTGGATTTGAACACCAGCAGAAGTATAAAGTACGTGCTCAGAGTTCTACTGAAAAAGAAGTGTTCAAATAATGCATCTCAAACTGGGAGACATTTCATTCAGTGAAAGGGTGGAAAATTTTAATTAACTTGCTTCCCACTCTCCTGTGGATGATAAGTAATCTCTGATCACACCTTGAGTGTCAAGAAGCCAGAGCATATTGAGCTAGGTTTTTCCCTTGACTTGCATCACATGAAAAGAATTCATTTTATTTTAGTTGCACTGTTTGTTTTGAGCATTTTCTCCTTTCACAGTTGGTTCTGCTCATTAGAAAAAAAAAAAGATTAAAAAATGATAATGATAATATCTAGGGCAAGCCACACAAACAACTGCATTAACAATTTTTCTTTTCTTTTTCCCCCCAACTGCGGCAATTTTAACCACAGCAAGATAATAAACAAGACAACTACTAAGCTCTTGTGAGACAGAAAGAAGTTCTTTAGAAATCATTCTTTCCTGGGTTAAGTGAATGTGATTTAGTTATAAGGCAGCTATGGATTGTCACTATTTAATATTTTTTTCCAACATGGATTAAAGAGTGGAAGACTGAAAATCTCATTAAATAAATCTTAATAAAACCTTGATCGGCAGATCCTAACAGACTGCGTACTAAGATCTACAGACAGATGGCACAGAGGATGGGAAGTAAAAAACACGAGTCGCTTTGAAAATTTAACCTACTGTTTGTGGGGGGAAACGGGCAGTGCGTTCAAACCCAGCTCCCTACAAAAAACAGAGAAGAAAGCCCACAAGGACAGGAACCTGCACCCCCAGCCAGGGCTGGTTACCAGTCCCCACCACTGCCAAAGCCAGGGCTTTCTCCTAGGGCACTGAAGGGAGGATGAGGAAGCGGCGAAGGCAGGACTTGCACCTTAGTGCAAAAGAGGGAAAATAAAATGAGAGAAATTGAATATATGGGCAGTGTGAGAACGACCCAGTAAAAGCGTGCTGCAAATGTTTTATGTTTGCAGTAACACAGCTGGCAAGGGGACTAAATCCTAGCAATAAACTTGTGAATTATTTGCCTTTTTCCTTTTCAGACTTCTTCCAAAAGGTAACTTCTGCTAATAATCTAACATTATTGATCCATTAAAAACACTTATTGGAAGCAAAACAGACGTTTCACACAATGTTTCAGCAATATCAGCTGGACTACGCTCCTCTAGTATTGAGCTGCTCCTAAATTTCCACATGTAATACACCGCAGCACCTTGCTAGCAGCCACTTGCTACACATCCATTAGCTGTGCAGCAGAGGGGTGTGGGACTCCTGCACCCCTAGAAACCACCAGTGGCTTTTGGCAGCAGGTGGGTCACTGACCAACACTCTAGATGCTAAACTGGAACCTTAATGAAAATAGGAAAAAAAAGTAATAAATCCACAGACAGGTTTTGTGCTCATTATTCTGGGCATATGTAATTTAGACTTATTTATGATTACTTAATATATGTGCATTCATGCACTGTGAAAGATTTTTTATAATATAATAAGGCAGTAACACTATATGGGGCAGCATCCTGTTAAGACAGTTTTTCTGAGATACAGATGTAGCCAGTCACAATTTCAATACACACACAGGCTGCTGAGTAGCATTCACATCTGTCTCCACATCTAGGGCAAAATAAAAAACAACCAAAAAACCTTCCCAGGCCCACAAAGCCCACTTTCTCTCAGAGACTTCTGTGGATGCAAATCCTACTTTCTAGCATATGTATAAACTAACAAAAAACATCCAAGTGCTCCTGATACTGCCTGCACTTGCAGCAGAGAAGCACATTTGTGCAGCAACACAATTTTGCATTTATAGAAGCACGGGACAGGTAGCAAAAGCTCCACAAGGTGAATGTGCTGACACGGAGGGTTCTCCACAAAGGAAGCACGGAGGCATCTTAGGAAGTGTGTTAAACTGACATTGCACAGACAACATA